CTCCTTCTTGACGGAAGGAGATAATCTCGAGAGATGGGAAGAGAGACAAGCCAGCCAGCTCCTGCAAACTAGCAGCCTCACCCAGAGCCCCTCCCCCAGCCCTGCAGGGAACAGCCCCCTGGGCCAGGTGTGGACACTCACCACCTTACCCCGCACGGAGTCCCCAGTCCTGGGGCATCCAGAGGTCGGCTCCAGGCTCCCCCATCTAAACTGCACACACACGCAGGCCCTAAATTAAAATGTCACAGGCCTATGGGGAGGCTCGGGTTTCCTGCCGCAGAACATGAGCCTGCTTGATAAACCATTTTGGTTTTGATAAATGTGGACTTTCTGTGGCAGAGACAAAGGCGCCCTTGAGTCCAGAGGAGAACCTACAACGGCACATTGCTGAAAACTATTTCCTGATAATATTTTTAGCACCTGAAAAAAACAACAACATTTTTTCTCCTTTTGCCAGTGGAGTTGTGTTTTGTGTTGTTGTTTTTGTTGTTGTTGTTTTAATGTAATGACCAGTGGGGGTGAGGCCCTGTGTTAACCCCCAGGCCAGGCTGCAGATCAGCCCAGGGTGAAGGCCGTGGAGTAAGCAGGCTCTCTGGGTGGGCCCGGGCCTGAGCATCTCACAAAGCTGCCCAGGAGATTCCCTGGGGCGGTGGGGCTGGGAGCCCCGTCCTGGTGTCCTAGGGTCTCCAGCCCTTCCACAGCTGCACCTCGTGGGACTAGGGCATTTACGGGCCCTCACTCTCGGGGTGCTGCCCGTGTAGGGCTGGCCTCCTGAAATTCTCGAGTGGCCCTGATTGCATCCTAACGGGATCTGTGAAAACCGGTGGCCTCAGAATTATCCACACACAGAGGGACCCTCCCACTAGTTCCTAAAAATCACATCAAATGTTCCTTGTTTTGACTGCAAAACAACATGCTCATTGAAGACGTTTTGGAAAATACAGAAAAACCAAGACAAGTGTGAAACCTCTCAGGACCTGGTGACTGTTCTCTCTGCTTATCTTTGGGGGGTGCACCTGTCTTCAGGGGCCCGGGGCTTGGCTGGAGTCACCAACATCAGGACTCTGAGAGCAGAGAGGATGGGGGAGGAACTGAGGCCCCAAGAGTCGGGTCTTGCCCTGGGCCTAGGGACCCAGAGGTGAACAGATGCCCCCTGAGGGGCAAATGCACAGTGATGTCCCAGGTCAGCAGTCCCAGAGGCAGAAGAAGGGCTGGGATGACCACAGCTGGGGACAGAGAATCTGAATGTGGGCTCTTGAGGTCTTACTCCCACCCAGGGGCCCAGGGACACCAAACCACTTGCCAGAGGACCCCACTGACCAGCCTTCCCCCGCAAACGACTGCTTTAGGCTGCTTTACGTAGGAGTCGCCAAAATTCTCTTGCTGCCTGCACCCGGCAGGAAACCTCTGGGGCAGAAACACTTTAATACCCTGAGGTTCCCCAGGCCAGGGGTCATTCCCACATTAAACCAGATAGGAAGCCTCGCCCTGCACAGGAATCCAGAGCCCCCAGGCTCAAGGCTAGGGAGGTTTGGGGGGCAATGTAGGGCTGGCCTCTGGCTGCTCTAGAAGGGTTCATCCAGGCACTGCTCAGCCAGCGTGCCCCTCCCCCCCCCTCCACTGATGACACTCTGGCAGCGGGGTGACCGGGTTCCCTGGCCGGGCAGCAACCTGAAAGAGCACGCGGAAAGCCTGCCCCCCAAGTTGAGGTCTGTCCCAAAACTGCTCTGTGCACAACACTGCGGCCTCACGGAGGAGGACGGTCCCCGTCGCAAGGCGTGCGCCCGCGAAGCCCTCACTTCTCCACACCGTCTCGGGGGGATACTGGGACCGTGGGGGCCGCGGGGTCCGTGGGCTGGGCCTCCAAGCGGCGCAGGGGCACTAAGTGCCCCAAGCCCTGGGTCAAGGGCTCTGTGCGCGCCCCCGCGCTTTCTGCCGTCCTGGCGCTTTTAGAGTCGCCCTATATTGCATGGCCCCGCCCATGCCGTGTGCGGCCCGGCTCGATATTTAAATCGCCGCCCCAGGGGCGGGGCCGGCCCCGAACGCGGTCCCGCCCGGCGCCTTCCTTCGCGGAGCGGCCACCGGACAGCGGCCCGGCGGAGCTCGCGGGTGCAGGGCGCAGAGCTGTCGACGGCGCGGCCGCGCTGCCCGAACGCCCGCTCGGCCCTGCGGGCCACTCCCGACAGCGGCCTCGCTCCAGGCGGCGGGGACCGCGAAGCCCCGCTCTGTCCCTCTCTGTCCCCGTTCTGTCCCCGCTGCGCCCCCGCTCCGCTCCGCTCCGTCCCCGCTCTGTCCGTGTCCGTCCCAGCTCTGCGCTGCTTTGTCCCGCTCGGTCCCCGCCGCCGACCGCTGGCGATGCCGTGCGGTGCCGCCTGGGCGCTGCTCTTGGCCGTGGCCTGGGGGCTCGGGGCGCGCGGGGTGCGCGGCGCGGTGGCCCTGGCCGACTTCTACCCGTTTGGCGCGGAGCACGGCGACGCTGTCACCCCCAAGCAGGACGACGGCGGCTCCGGGCTGCGGCCGCTCTCCGTGCCCTTCCCGTTCTTCGGCGCCGAGCACTCCGGACTCTACGTGAGTACCCGAGCCCGCGGGGCGCCGGGGAGGGCGCTGTGCCCCGGCCGCTGCCCGCCGCCCCGACTCCCGCCGCCGCCGCCAGCAGCTTGGCACCACGGCGGCCAGAGGTGGAATGAGGACAGCGCTTCCTCCCTCGGCGGCCAAGGCCGGACAGCGGCCCGCAGGAGAAGCGGGCCGGTGGGGGGTGCGAGCTGCAGCCCCACCACCTTGGCGACGGGCGCCTGCCCCGCCCCTGCCCCCGCCTGACCGGCCTGGAGCGTGGGCAGCGTGCACTGAGGGTCTGCCGGTGCCTGGTCCCAGCTTGGTGGGGGGAGTCCTGGCCTGGTCCTGACTCTCAGAGACAGCAGGCATGGGCCAATTCTCTCTCCACCGCTCCCAGGGCGGGACCCTGGCCCCTTCGGGAAAGAAATGCTGTGCCTCTCCTCACTGCATCATGCACTTTCTGTGGGTGGGCCCAGCGCACCGCCCTGAATCTGGGCTAGAAAGCGGCCGGGCAGCCCGATGCACTGTCACCTCCAACACCAATGCCCAGAACACAACCTCTGCCATTCCCACCACCATCACCACCACCACCTCCCATTCCCCCATCAGCCCAGTATCAGCACCACCCCCTGCACTGCCATCTCCCCCATCAGCATTGTCACCGGCTCCATCATCCCCACCATCTCCAACACTGCCTCCATCACCATCCACAGCTTTGGCACTCCTGTCCTTCTTACCCGCCACTGTTCATGTGGCCTCTGCCACCCCCTCGCCAACATCATTGGCTCCCTCCACCACTTGGCCACCCCACCGCTGGGCAGCTGCCTTTCCCAAGCCCGTGCAGAAAGGCCTCCTCGCGTTGGGGGCAGCATTTGCTGATGTGACTGTGGTGGCAGGAGGCAGCCATTGCTCTGTAGAAGCACCCGCTGGAAGTCCCTCTGGACCAGGATTTGGACCTGGAGCCAGGACTGACTTCAGAATGTGGAGTGAGCAGGGCAGAGCTGTGCTCAGCGTCTCCTGGAGCTGAGGAGCCCCATACATCTTAGAACTGGGAAAACTCATGTTGGCACCATCTTACACAACACTGCATCAACATGGCCCTTAGGAACTGGCCAGGCTCAACTTTCCCACCCACAGTCACAGGTGAAAATATTAGGAAAACAGTCCACCCTCTGACCAGCCCCTCTAAAAACATTGACCCTTGCCAAAACAACGGGGGAGAGGGCGCTGAAGTGGACAGATCTGCTAGCAAAACAAATGGTTTCATCAGAAACCAACATTCTGACTGCTAGCAAAACACAGATCTTCATAAGAGCTTCTTCCTCAAACAGAGATGTTATTTGAAAAACACTTGCCCATGTGGACATAGTGAGCCCCTTCACCTTCTCTTCACTCTGCAGGAAAGAATGGAGTTCTTGAGGGGCAATGCCCAGAGCACCTCCCTGTGTCAGGGAGGGAACGGACCGGCGGGCAGGGAGGCCTTAGAATCACAGCCAAAGGAGGGAAGGGATGATATTTGTTCTAAAGCAAGTGGGTCCGACCAGGTGGCCCCACACCCACTCAGGTCCAGAAGACACTTTCCTGCATGTCCCTGGATCCAACCCTTGTCCAGCAGAGCACACCTGGGCCAGCCCTGAGCCCAGCCCCCTGTGACCAGCCGAGTGAGAACCCTCTATAGGCCAGTTCCCCACCCCCACCCCCAGCCTCTGTCCCCTTAGTCCCCAGCCTATTGTTTGGCAAAGAGCAGGCTTGTTGAGTGGCTGGAGGGATGGAGGGATGGGTGCGTCAGCCCTCTGACAGGGCCCACTTGTCACAAGGTGTGAAGTTACCAGTGACGCTGCTTGGAGATCAATGCTTTCTGAGTCTCCATGGAATCAGGACACAGGCTACACCCTAGTAAGGATTCAGTCCTGTGATGCTTGGGGGCCTACTTTCCAGAGGCACCCAGCATTAGGCTTCTTCTCACGTCATAGCAGCTGCGTGTGCTACGTCATGAGGCTCTGAAAATCATGGAGAGTCATTCTATTGCTAAGGTCCTACACCAGCCAGTGCTGCTAGCAGGTTGGAGCTGCAGCAGCCTGCTGAGGGACATGGTTTGTGAGTATAGATGGCAGCTGTGCCATGGCCTACGGGTCTGGCCAAGGTGAAGCGTCCACTCAGGGTGGCATGGGAAGTGAGAGGCAGCAATTCTGCAGAAGTCCCAGGTGCAGCCCCGCCCCCCGGTTGGGGTTATGGAGATGCAAAGGAAGATCCCGGTTTATTTGTCACCAGGAACTGCAACTAGTGGCTTCAGGTAGCACGTCACCACTCAGCTTCTGTTCCCTCATTGGGTGAAGGGTTTGCCAGGTGGGCAACTCCTGTGAAGGTGCCCCACCCTGTGAAGGACCCACAAGTATGTTATAAGGTTGCAGAGGCCAGGAAGGGGGTGCAGGATCTGACAGTCGTGTCTCCAAGACTGAGCTGTTGGAGTGGTAGACCCTTAGGGTCCCTTCCACCTGTCACCCCAGGGCCTCCTCCAACCCCTGCTGGCCTCTCACCCATGCTGCTCTGACCCCTCTGACCCTCCTTGTCTTTTGGAACACCTTGGAGCCAGTCCCAGCATGCAGAGCTGAGTGGGAGCTGAGGTGGACAGTGTGCCCAGAGGGAAGGTGTGGTACTAACAACGAATTTGACAGAGGGAGGATGCATGCCCACCCTGAACATACTGTCCCTATTCTGCCTTCCCCAGATCATGGCCGCCATGGCTAGTCATTTCCTCCCAAAGCCTCAGTTTCCTCTCTATGCAATAGAGTGCCCCATCTGAGTATGCCCGTGACACATGTCCAACCATCACTGTCTTAGCTGTTCTGGCCACCAGTTCCAAGCCATCTACAAAACCTGCCCTGACCCCCAGGGACAGCCTGGTGAGATGCAGGAAGGCCTGGTGGTAGAGTCCTGCTTCTTCTGAACCCACTGAGCAAACCCGTAAGAGCCCAGCCGGCTCCAGGGTGGCCTGGGAGCTGCCCCTCTTCCTGCTGTGGGCGCCCTCATGGGCGCTCCCTTCCTGCTGTGCCTGGGGAGGGGCAGCAGAAGAAAGAGATGCAGGGGTGGAATAGAGCTGGAGTCGGGGTCGAGCTGGCACTGGCCCCCCTGCCCAGACCTCCTCCCTGGCAGCCTGTGAGAGGACAGGCAGGACGGTCATCCTCTGTACAGATGAGGAAACTCAGGCTAAGAAGGCAGATCCAGGGCCCCAGACTCTCATGTCCAAGTGCTTCCTAACCACTCCAGCCCAAACTAGCAGGGCCCAGCCCGAAGCCCTGCTTCCTCCAGCCCACTGCCCAGAGCGTGCAGGCAGCCCCCGGAGCCTCCTCAGGGCCTCCCTCCCTTCCTTGTCCCCACATTGTCAGCAGCTGGGCCTGGCAGCTCTGCCTTGGAAACACGTCCACTTCCCAGCACCTGCAGTCAAGTCCCTGGGCCAGGCCACCGTCCCCACTCACTGGCCTCCAGCTGCTGGCCCTGCCCCTCGAGCCTGTTTACAGGGCAGCCAATGAAGCCAAATGGGCCTCTCCCCCGCCTCTGTTTCCTGCCCTTACCTGCCCCTGGCTTTAGGCTGGATGGTCTGACCCTGTGCACCTCACTGGGCAGCAAGCCTGGCAGCTGGGAATGACTCGGGTGTCCCCACTCCTTATCTCTTGGGGACTCTGTGAGCCAGAACTTCTTAGCTAGAAGTGACCAGCTTGCCAGACTGTCTTTCCAGACAACTCGCATGGAAACCTGGTGTGTTCACTCCCCATGGACTTCTTCACTAATGCATTCATCCATGTAGCATCCTGAAGTCCTGCCTGAGGCCAGGCTGAGCCTAGGGGGCAAGATGTGGTGGCAGCAGCGTGTCACTCTGAGAGCTGAACTCACTGTTTCCTGCTTTGTTCCCTGCGCTGTCCCCGCTTCCAGGAGAGTGCTGGCTCCTGGCGGCCTCAGTCAGTGCGAGTCACCCATCTTCTGACATGGGATGACAGAACCGTGATCCTGCATCCAAACTCCCTGGTTTGTTTCAAGCACCGTTAGGGTTCTACAAAACAAACTTGCCCTTTCATACAAGTTTATGTTGCACATATGTGAGCATTTCCCCATGCCTTGAGTGTGTTAGAGCATGCTTTTTGGTGACAGTATGATATTTCATCCAGTTGCTGCACCATGTCGTTTTAACCAATGAGTTGTTGACTGTGGGTGGTTTCAGGATCTCCCATGAACTAATGTCGCCGGTGCACGACCCCCTGTGTGTCCTTATGTAAGTCTCCCGCTCTCTGCTTTCCTTTCCTAGTGGGTCAGAGGGAATGTGCTTCTCACAGCATCTCCCTGCTGCCTGTCACCCAGAGGGCATCCTCGTCTGCATCCTTCTCTCCTGGGTGAAGGAGTCACCTCATCTGGCCTGGGTCAACCAGGAGGCCACCACTCACTCAGCTCCTGCATGGTCCAGGACTAGGCACCTGGCCAGAGCAGATCCTACTGTGGGAGTCTGCCGGGTCACCTGGGAGCAGGAGAGAAATGCAGAGCCCTGGACCCTCCCCAGCATGCAAGGGCCCCAGAAACAGCCTTTAATCAGGTTCCTGGTGCCTGTCCAGGGCCCCACCTGAGAAGCGCTGCTCCTCCTGAGGGCACCCACCGGCCTGCCATCCTGCTCATGGTGCCCCGGGCACCCCTAACCCTGCAAGCTCAAGTCTCCACTGCCTCCCATGTACTAGTGCAGGGCTGGCTGGGACGAGCTGCCCCCCAAGGGCCCCGGCCACAGGTGCTCCTTGTGGCCCCTGGCTTCCAGGCCATCCTTGTAGTCAGACTGATGATAGGGGTGGGGGCAGCGAGCAGGCCCAAGAACAGAAGAAGCTGGAAGAGTTGGCCCCTGGAGATGTTTCTCCCATGGGTCTGTGAGCAGGCGGCTGGGTGGGGCCGCCCCACTGGTTTCACCCTCCCCCCCCCACCACCTCTCCACAGGGTCCCACCTCAGTGGGGCAAGTGATTTGTTAACTGCCACCTGAAGC